TTCGCTGCCTCCGCGTCCCTGGCGCGCCGTCCTCATTTTTCCTTCCCCAGCCTGTGTGAATGAGAGAGACGTTCAAAAGCCACGAGTCTGTTATAGAGTCAAGATCAAGCGTCTCTTTGTTTCTCTGTCAGGCTCCTGGCAGATTGTGAGCTGCCCCTGTGCCGGGGTGATAATGTGAGCGCTCTCTGTCAAGTGGAGGTTTGCACTGACATTTAGAACAGCGGATGTTGAAATGGATATTTAAAAAAAAAAGCAGTGAACTGATAGTTACTCAGTTATCCTGAACGTGCCATGTTTGCTTCATGATTATGAGAAGATTCAAGCATTTTTTTTTGTGACTTATGAGATTTTATTTTCATTTGTCAGTGGCCGGTGGAAGAGGACGGACTGAGTAGTCAGCCTACAGATGTACACTGAGATGCCAAGGCAGTTGCTTGATAGTGATTTTCTTTGTCTTGTCAGCACATCCTTCGGTAGAAAGCAGTGCGGCTGAGCCGCTGTCGTTGCTCCTTTTTGGATTTTGTGAAGTCACTCGTTCTTTCTAATTGACTCAATCAGCAGATCTGTCCTGTGATTGTTATCACTGATGCAGTGATGAACATCTTTTTAAAAGTCACTCACTCTGTCTTATCTGATCAGCAGGTTACTCTTTATCTCTCAGGAGAACAAAAAGAACCCCTCTTTCTGACGTTGTACACGTTACACTTCACACTTTCACACACCCAGCCCACTGAAAAATAGGAGTAGCTCCAGCTGGCTTGATTGGCTGCATCGTCCCTTTGTGTGGATTTACACACTCTCTGATGGTGCAAAACGGGTGGAGCCAGGTTGTTTGTGGTGTCCTGGTGGAGATGAATGCAATGCGGCTTTAGCGTCCCACAGGCACAATGCCCTTAATGGGCAAATAGCATCAAAGTGACCTTTGTAATTTCATAGAGGAATGCCAGGATGTGTTTTTATGGTACCCGTTTGTCTTTTCCGGCTTTAGTTTGAGCCGTTTGTTCTTTTATCTGCTCCAGCATCGCTGCTCAACTGCCCATCTCTTCTTTTTATCCACTCTTTCACCCTCAGGTGTTGCCAGCGAACCCGGAGGAATCGTGGCAGGTGTACAGTTCAGCCCAGGATAGTGAGGGAAGGTGTGTCTGCACTGTGGTGGCGCCCCAGCAGTCCATGTGTTCACGGGATGCCCGCACCAAACAACTGAGGCAGCTGCTAGAGAAGGTAATCACCGCTTAACTCCTCACCAACTCATGAGCATAGCAATCAAAGTCGTGCAATACCCAGAGTGACCCCTCTTTACTCCTTGAAACTACAGTACAAATACACACACACACACATATAGGCTTACCCATGACTGTGGTCTGCCCGTTGGACAAGAATAGGAATCTAATGAGCTCCCTGGAAACCAAACATGCATCATGGGAGGCAGCTACACACCCGTGAGTTTCTATTCTACTGCACACAACCAAAGCAACACATCTAATGAGGCAACCCGGCCCAATACACACAGACTGGTGGTGGTTTCCTATTTACATAAAAAGAACATTTAAGCACATTTCTGAAAAAAAAAGAAATGGAGTTGATCCCCACTTAATGCAGCGGATCCACACAAAAAAATACAGACATCAACAGATATTTCATGAATAAACAGAAGATGTGCCAGGTTTCTGGAGTTTCTAGACTCCAACAGTTTTGGAGAAACCAAATGTTTTAACAGTATGCATTCCACACTTCCACCATGTGTCTGAGGCCCCTGACTAGTTGGCCTGATGTCAGAGTTTGTGAGTCACTGCGAGAAGAAAGCCAAGCCAAAACAACATATTGACAGTCTGTTGCGTTTTCCCTGCATCTCATACTCATTGCTCCAATTAGCCTGTAATAAAATAGAGATTTGATTTCATGACTCGGTCCAATGTGTCCATGTGGCACCTCAGGTCCAGAACATGACCCAGTCCATCCAGGTCCTGGACCAGCGAACCCAGAGGGACCTGCAGTATGTGGAGAAGATGGAGGGCCAGCTCCGTGGTCTGGAATCCAAGTTCAGGCAGGTGGAGGAGAACCACAAGCAGAACATCGCCAAGCAATACAAGGTACGGAGCCGGATCTCCAGCCATTGACCCAACCGCCATTCTGTCATACCTGCTCTGTAGCCCATTGTGCACAGCCTTACCCATTTTGTGTCTCCGTGTTCCCACTGTGGAGATGCTAAATTGACTCAACCACCATACCACATACTGAGAAATCCATAATGCATGCATAATCATAGAGGTTCAATAGTTGGATACATAAACTCAGCTGCAAGAATTCATGTCCTTATTTCACTCCAACTCACTTTATCAAACCATGTGATGGAATCCTAAATCAACTTGGACATTAGGAGATTTACGTTTCTCACACACTTTTTCTTAAAGGGACAGTGTGTGAAAACGGAATATGATATTTATAAGTATGTAGTATTAGTAGTATAATCACCTGAAAATAAGAATTGCTGTGCTTTCGTTACCTTAGAATGAACCGTGGATGGGAGAACTTTCAGTTGGTTGCAGGTAGGGTGGGGTATCCCTTAAAATGTTTCGAAACTAGTGCTGATATGCCTTGTATTTCTTTTTCATCCAATAAGGACCGCTAATAACTTAACTTTATTAACTCTCAGTTCAAGGAGTAACTATAAGATAATGAAAAGTAACTGTCACAGCATCTTAAAGCAAAAAGTAACATTAGCAAATTACTTGGTTTATCCGACCAACAGTCCCAAGATGGAGAAAAGCAGCACGTCTCCACCATTGAGGAGCTGCAATTGAGGAATCTGGGCATTTTCCTTCGAAAAATGACTTTTAACGATCAACCAATTTTCAAAAGAGTTGACAATTATCTTGCTGCCGCCTGACTAATTACATAATCGACCAATCGTTTCAGCTCTCCGTTTAACGAAAGAAGTTCTCAAGTGCTAAACGTCGTCTAAACACAAGCGGCCATGCAGGAACTTTCAAAATCAAAGAATAAACAAGACACATTCGATGCCAATTTAAAAAAAATTAAAAGTTTGTTTCATTCTCTGCCACAAACATCTTTCAGCTGGTACCATGAAAGCATTGAGGTTCAATACCCAGCCCTCTCTCTCACACAAATGCATTGTTTCACTTGTATCCCTACCTGTACTATCTCACCTGCACCAATACACGTGTGTGTGTGTGTGTGTGTGATCACCGCTGCATGCTCAGAACACCTCATGCCACCAACACATTCAGTGCATGTGTGCAATTTTCTGTAACATGTCTTAAGTGCATATACTAAGTGCGTGTGCGTTTGTTTGTGTGTCTTGTCAGCTAGGTTAGCAAGCTCAAGCCCCTGTCAACAGTTTGTCATTTTCTTGCTTGCAGGGCTAACTTTAAGACATGTAAAGAGAGCCACAGGGAAGAAGAGGCAGGTCAATTCCAGATTCCCCTGAACTGGGCCACAGTACTGAGAGCATTTGGGCGTCAAACAGTTAATTTACCTTTAGCACCATTAAGACTAAGAAACCCCAGCCTTCTCCCAAACCAACCCACCACTGATCTCTTCCTGCATGTTACTGCTGTCAAAGTTTTCCATTTAAAAGCTTTCTTTTTCAAACCTAGATACATTTATTATTATTATTATTATTATTAACAATTGCTGTTATTCATTCTATTTTTCTTTTGGCTTTTGTCTATGCATATTTGGTTACTCAACAAATCTATACGTAAAACTATAGACGTAAAATTCGAGTCACTTTGTTGTGTGTGACATGTAAAAGCATGTAACCCTTAATACGATGTTGCATTTTAAACGATGATGACCAATAAAGAGCTTTCCCAATTGTTGTCGGTGTACCGAGGGCTTGCTTTTTAACGGCTGGTCACTGCCGGGGACGGAGCCACCTGCTCTGCTCGTCCAGCGGGCGGAGCATGTTACCTGGGTTTGTTTGCTCAGACACACACCTGCACAGACAAAAAAAAACAAAACACAGCTGCTCACACACAAACACTGAACACAGACACAAACAGGGGTCAGTGAAGAGGCAGGATAGAGGTAGAGTAGTCAGGTTCAGACAGGTGTTATTTATTTATTTTTCTTTCTCCTTTTGTCACGCATGACACTCAACCGAGCTTATTCTAATCCTTTCAGGCCATAAAAGCGAAAATGGAGGAGCTTAGACCGTTGATACCAGTGTTGGAGGAGTACAAAGCCGATGCCAAATTGGTATTGCAGTTTAAGGAGGAGGTCCAGAATCTGACGTCAGTTCTAAACGAACTTCAGGAGGAGATGGGGGCCTATGACTACGAGGAGCTCCACAGCAGAGTGTCAAATCTTGAGGAGAGACTCCGAGCATGCATGCAAAAATTAGGTAGGCGCAGAAAGTTGTTGGCACACACTTTGCTTCAAAACATGTGCATGCACAAACACACCCCTGTTGGTACTGACATGTAGTATGTTGTGATTTAGCCAGAAAGATTTCCTCAGGCATATACACACGATTCAGAACATCACAGGGACATTATGTGTGGCTGAAATGCTCAAGCACTCACATGCATATTACACACCACTCACAACACAATCGCCAGTTACCCTTTGTGGTTGTATTTCACAGTGCTCGCCCTCTGACAGACTATGCCATCGATATATACTCTCACATTTTCAAAGTCTATTACAGGGCTTCACCTGTACTCATAGAACTGGAATTACATCCAGGTAACGTCTATATCATCTGTGTTTCTTCCTTCAAAGACACCAATGGTCGGTTGTCAGAAAATCAATTCAAGACATTATCAATCAAAACAAAACCATCTTCTCTGCTGCTTTTCTGTTTTTCTGTTACTGTAAATATTATGAATATTTGGGGATTCTTTACTGTTTATTGGACAAAACAGACTTACAGACGGCACACTGGGAACACTATTTTTTTTCATTGTTTTACAACATTTTATAGAATAAATCAATAATTGATAGATGAATTGATAATGCAAATATCTTAAATGGCATCAGTCCTGACGGCCCACCCTTTTAACTTTATTTGTGTGGACAATTGCGCAACTTACATTGTAATACATTACAACGGAATTTGCGAACCTGCATGAATCTATGGTAGCATCCAAAAACATGGCCTCCGGTGATGAAAGAGATGGCCTGTTTAAATACACGATTAGGTGTTTCACAGGAGTACACACACACAAACGCACACCGACGAGGAAGAGAGCTGCACACAGGAAGTTTCTATCGCAGTCTTATCTTTGGTTTTAGCCCCGTCTCAGGCTCTTCACACCTCTGTCACAGCCCACAGTGCTAATAGATGCACACCCACACTTCAGTGACTAAGATAAATTGCAAGAGCAGAGACACTTACACGCAGCACATCACGGGTATATTGTGTCCCTGTTCAAAATATTCACAGTGCAAGATGATAGAAAGGAAGTGGGAAAATACTTTAGGTTACAAAGACTACTGTTCATTTTGGACAGCTGGTCGAGACACGGAGATTTTAATTGAATTGAATACGTAGAGTACAAGAAGCAGACGCCTAATCTCAGCCCCCCCCAGTTACCGTTTCAGTCACTATCTCTCTTCACCTATCCACACACAGTTGTTTTAGTTTGTTTTTTTACTGGCCACATCTGCTGTCACTACCCACCGGACTGGAGCAAGAGTCTTGTCCGTGTTTCTGCTCTCAGTTCGTTGCACATGCCGTTGCTCACATGACTGCCAAAGATAGGAGAGCGGGTAACTGCGGAGTGTGTGTGTGTGTGTGTGTGTGTGTGTGTGTGTGATCAGACGAGATAAGGGCGAGTTCACCCAGCGAGGGACTGGCTTGGGCAGAACAGAGGGTGGCTCTTCCTTTCATCTTCACACGATTGCATAGGCACTCATGCATAGTGCACACAAATACACTCCGCTGCACTCTCGTTATTGAGATTAAACTGGCAAAGGTCGCAAGACCAATTTGCATCTGCAGATTAACAGGAGGAGGGTGGGGGCAAAAAAAAATGAAGGTAAAGAAGGCCGGAGAAATTTGAGCATTGAATAATAGATACAGCGACAGGAGCAATTGATAGGAGGTGGTGAGGGGGAAGGAGAAAGAGTGATAAAGTGAAGGCGAGCTGGGAAAGTGAAAGAGAGTAACTAGGGTCCCTGCAGAGCTGTCCTTCAAGCTGTTTTGTGCTGCAGAGACTAACAGACCGGCGGCTGCAGGGACACAATGGCCATCGATCAAGAGGACATGCCAGCTTGCTGGGCAATAATCAAATAAATAAATCACCCTGTGCCGTGCCCCAGAAACGCAGAGGCACAGAGAGCTTGAGGCAAATCCAGTCCCGTCACACCCAAAACACTGATGAATGGAGCAGGAAAGTCATACCAGCACATAAAGCAACTCAGCTACCTGCTTTGCAGCCATTGTTTTCACCCTCCATTTCCTCTGGAGAGAATACAATTACAAGGCATAATGTATAGCCACGTTCACCTGCCACAGAATCAATGTTTTGCTCTTTACGAACAATCTCAACGTATCTATTTTTGATTCGCTCTCCCTCATCTGTATAATGCAGTGATTGGTTTACTTTACTGACTGTTGTTCCTTTGTAATTGCTGAGGTCTGGGAACATGGAGACATCGCTACAAAGAAGTCACACAAGTGGTCAGAGAAAACTATTTCTCTGTGACATTAAACATTCACAACTAAATATGCTAACAGAGAAATACAGAAATCTCTTGTGTGAAATAACCATAAGTGTTCTACATTCTAAAGATAGAGGGCATGATGAGGGAAAATAATTAAATAAGTCAATGGCCAATGTGCTACTGCGGTCTCTAATCCCACTGAGGGTTACGTAAGGGACTCAAACCCCCCACTGGAAATAGTAGATGCTGCTCATGTGACCATGTGTTCGTCTCTCAGCACCGCCGCTGAGGTGTGATGCCCACACATAATCACAGGCAACACACATGCCGCACATAAAGACACACCGAAACTCATTACACACAATTTTCATTGTATAAGGGAAATGAATTTGACCCGATTCGAGAGTGAGAGAGAGCGACTTCAAAGCAAAATGATCAAGAACAACAGAGATGCTATGACGAAAGAGGGATGATGAGTATAACAATAAGGAGTTAATGGATGCGATGCTTCACAGCGGAAGATGCTAATGAAAACCTAAAGTGAGCCGCCGTCGCAGTCCCACTCTTTAAATTAGCATATCAGAGCGACTCATTCACGGGCTCAAATGAACTCGTCTCATTGACTTTTGTCTTGAAAAAACGCCTATTTGATAACCAATGGATGTGCTGCAGCGGTGTTCTGAGGTGCTCTCAGTGAGGTGGGGACACAGAACCCAGTGTTAGTTTTGTCAAATTCCCATTAACACCTTAATCAACACTAATTAACACGGCAGCAGCTCACGAGCAGCACACTGGAGCAGAACACACAGTGGCTCTCCCTCTTCCCACTCACTTTCTCACACATCCACACACAGAGATTAAAAGAGGCATCAGCATGTGTGAAACGAATAATAAGCAACTCGTGTGCGGCGCGACACGCAAAGGGAAAAGCCTCAAGCTGGACGTCGACTCACTCAATCTCCAGGCGAACTCGTTTTGGATATAAAGTAGATGAAAGGGAATCCCTTGAAATAGATTTTGAATTGGTCTAAATATCCGAATGGGTGTCGCTCTAGATGTTCCCCTCTCACCTCTTTCCTTTGCAGCATGTGGCAAGCTGACGGGCATCAGTGAGCCCATCACCATCAAGACGTCTGGATCCAGGTTCGGCTCCTGGATGACTGACCCCCTGGCACCTGAAGGAGATACGCGGGTATGTACGGCTGCACCCGGGCACGGATAGGAAACGAACATACCAGTGTTTTGGAGCTGGAATTATTAGTTGATCGACAGAAATGTGATCTGCATCAATTTTGATCGGCTGGTTTCACCTTCTCAAAGGTTGTGATAGAAATATCATTATCAACACAGGCAATTTGCAGTACCGCAATATTTGACACGCACTGATTGAGAATATTAACACAACCACACTGTCTGTAAACATTTAATGCTGAATGGACAAGTCCCTGGAGCTCTACAAGTCAAACAGTGATAGATACAGACTCTAAAGTAAGAGTTGGCCTTGATCACAGGTGAAGCTCAACTCTCGCTGTGAAATTTAATAAGCGGTTAATTGGTCACTGTCTTTTTATCAGCAGATCAAATCTGATTTCCCTCTGATTGTGGTTTCTGTTGGCTCAATAACTTTTTACTACTAAAACATAATAAAGTGAAATGCCAGGGATGAATCTATAGGGTCTTAACAGGAAGCTGCCCGGCGGACAGGGAAGGGAGGTAGCTTGAAATAAAGAATGTTTATTTGTCGGCTACGTGCTCTTTGTGCACCAGCTTCATAAGAGACAGAACTCCCTACGTCACATGGGAGGAAAGGGGATACAAATCGGCAGCATACGGTACAGTAGCTGTCGAAAGTTGCAGTTTGCCTCCTGCAGGCTAATTGTCATGAAAACACAGGCTGTATTTTAAAATATTCCAGCAGCAAGGGTGGAATTTACTGCTGACTGAGATTATATCAGCATACTGTAAAAGGCAACTTTTTTTTTGGAGAAACTAATACGTTTAGAAGTGAACACATGAAAATGTGCTGCGGTATCAAAGTCCGGGAAAAGGAGACTGAACGAAATTGACGGGAGCAGACAGTTCTGAGACATTTCTTTTCATCTCTTTGTCTCCGTACTTCCATTCCATTTTTTTTTTCTGGGCCCTTGGGGACCTACTTCCTTGATATGAATCATTCATTAAGTAAATCGCAGCAGCTCATGAAAGCAGGTAGGGGGAAGTGCTTCAGGTATCTCGGTCCCTCTGAGACAAAGGAAGTGTTTGAGTCACTAGTTCCGGAGTAAGAGCTCTCTGCCCACCATCCCAGGGGGGGACCAGTACCAGGAAGCCGGGTGGAAGCAGCTGAGACAGGCCTTTAATCTGGAATGATGGGCGTTACCCCTGCGGGGCTCAGCTGACGCCCCCCCTGCGGCTGTCACGCTGACTGTTTGCATTCGGAAGCTGCTGGATCTGAGCTTCGGTCTGCCCCTTAAGGAAGTCTCAGCACTGCATAAATTGGGATGCATGTTGAGTGGCGGGATTTGTTTTATTGTGTGTGATCTGCATTAAAGATCCAGGTGTTCTCGGCACACTGACGATGATAGGGGACAGGGGTTGTTTTTCTAGCTCTGAGGTGCTGCTGTGTTTGATGCGGATTCTTCTTTATTCCTCTTGTCATGATGTTTAGGTCTGGTACATGGATGGTTACCACAACAACCGCTTCGTGCGAGAGTACAAGTCGATGCAGGACTTTATGACGTCGGACAACTTCACGTCCCACCGGCTGCCCCACCCGTGGTCGGGGACGGGTCAGGTGGTCTACAACGGCTCCATCTTCTTCAACAAATTCCAGAGCCACGTCATCATCAAGTTCGACTTCCGCACCTCCTCCATAAGCAAGTCCCGGCAGCTCGACTACGCCGGCTTCAACAACGCGTATCACTACGCCTGGGGCGGCCACTCCGACATTGACCTGATGGTGGATGAGGGAGGCCTGTGGGCCGTCTACGCCACCAACCAGAACGCCGGCAACATCGTCCTCAGCAAGCTGAACCCCAGCACCCTGCAGATCCTCAAGAGCTGGACCACCAACCACCCAAAAAGGAGTGCCGGCGAGTCTTTTATGATCTGCGGCACGCTCTACGTCACCAACGGATACTCGGGAGGCACCAAGGTGTACTACGCCTACTCCACCAACTCCTCTACTTACGAGTACATCGACATTGCCTTCCAGAATAAGTACTCGCATATCTCCATGCTGGACTACAACCCGCGTGACCGAGCCCTCTATGCCTGGAACAATGGCCACCAGGTCCTCTACAATGTCACGCTGTTCCACGTTATCCGCTCAGAAGAACTGTAACCGTGGAAAAATGGATTACATACATAAATACATATTGTCTGTGTAGAGATCTCCCTATATACAAAAATATATCTGCGAAAGAAAAAGTCTACGGCGAGACCATTCCATTTATAATATCAAATAACTTTTACTGAGAGACTGCATCAACACAATGGATGCAAAATGGATTGAGTGTGAATATACACGACACTGAAAAAAAACAAATCTAAAATTGAAGGGTTTCATTCCAAAATGTGATATATTTGTTACAGGAAAAAAAAAAGCTTTATCAGTTCATATCACAGTATCACAGATGATTGTTAATAAAACAGAACTGTTTGTATATAAAAGGTCTTAATATAACTTGTAATAGTTACCCATAGTAGACTTTATTTTAATAGCGGCCATCATTTAGTCAGAGGTATTTTAACTTTGGAATGAAACTCTTTAATTATTTGACACATAGAAAATGATTGTAACAGTAGACTAATATATCAGATTTAAAAAGAATAAGATCAGATGCCAAAAAAAAAATAAAAAAATCATCACGCCTTTTTTATATGATGGAATATCAACCTAAGCTCATTCCTGTGGCTCCGGTTCTTCTGTAGAACGCCTCCCAGCAGAACTTTCCTTTTTGGTCAACGGGGGTCCTCCAAACAAAGACTGTTGGTAATAAACTGTTGGACCCCCGGGTCCCACGGACAGACAGAACAGTGGGAGGTCATTCTGCTCAGAAGACTTGATAGCCTAATGGGTGCAGTCTGTCATTTTGTTTTGATCAAGAACAGTAGCAAATCAAAGTCTGTATAGAGAAACAACAATAACAACATCCACTAAAAGACCTGAAGGCACTGACTGTTGACAGCGCTGTTGTTTGAGATGCTTTTCCCGTGTTAGTGACTATGTGTGAACAAGGCTTTCTTTGCATGAGTGTTTTCTATCACTCCGGTCTGCTCTTCTGAATGTCTTTTGCTGTATGATACTATAAAAAAAAGGAGGGCGGGAGGGAGGGAGGGAGGGGGAACAAGGTAGAATACCTTTGGGATTTGAGGATTTGTAAAGATATTTACTTTTTCTCCCCCCCCCCTGCTTCTTTCTATTTGGTTCTTGTTTTGTTTATTTTCCTTCTTTGCAATCATTTTACTTTTCAAATGTTCTTGTATCACTGTAACTGTTGGCACCGGGTTTGCCTCTCTGTATTTGTTTATTTGGACTGCGTGGGATGAATCTATCCAGCTCACATCTCTCTGAAGAAAAAAAAAAAGAAATAACAGAATGTATTGAGTATTGTATCCTGGGAACCTGGTCCTCCTATCTTCAATTCACATCATGCGCCTGTAGGGAGAGGGTTTTTTTATTGAGGATAATCCTGTCTCATGTCGTGTCTCCCTCCCCCCCACACACACTGCTAGTGAAGGATAATGCTGTTTAAATGTATACCCTTGCAGAGGACAAAAGCTTTTCACCCTTTTTGCGCTTTGCTGGACATGTGTTGTATCTGAGATGAGATAGTTAATGATTCGTGTCAATAAACCAGAGAAATCTGACGCTCGGATTGTTGCCTTAAAAACAGCTGCAGGCTGCCATGTGACAGCACACCGAGCGCATGGCTGTCCATGTCACTTTTACATCAAAACTAATGCGCTTACTTCCTGCCTTTTGGGTGAACTCCTTCATTAAAATTGCACAGTGAGGTCTCCCCGTTCCATTGTTGAGTTGTGGGAAAGGATGAAGCATTTACAGGCCGTGTCACATTCTCAGGAGTCTGAAAGCGAGGTTGTGTATCTTTTGAATGAAGACAATAACACATTCTCCCTCTAGCAAATGAGAAGTTGAATTCATAAAACAATAAACCGCACTGTTGCTCACTTCACTGCACTCAGGGGTTTTGCTGCTCCAGCCTTACTTGACCAGTAGCTCATAGTGGATAATGTTTGCTTGATGGTCACTTGGGCCAAAGTGCCGGCTGTTCATTAGAAATCAAATAGGCTTTAAGGTATTACCAATACATAGATCATCTGACCTCGTACAGTTTTGGAGCTATTAGTTTGTTTTTTTATTGCTATTGGCTTCTGATAACACTAGATATTAGATACCTCTCGGTTGTATTGGTGGTCTAACAGTGTTATAACTGGAAAACACCCTATTTGGGTTTCCCTCGATTGACATTTCTTTTGTGTTGTCTATTTATTGAGGCAAAACTGTCCACTTTTTGTTCATGCAACAATTTTCTCCCTGTCTTTGTTCTCCACTCAATTTCACTTTTACCCCCACCACCGCCATTCCCCCCCCTCCTTTATCATCAAGCCAGTCTTATTTTCCCGCTCTTTGTTGCTCCCACTCCCCCACTGCCTCTTAGCCCTCTGATGTTTCAATCGATGAATAAATGATTGCTTCTATTTTCACTCCCAGTGCTTGGCCAACACGAGCTGCTTTGCTCCCCAGAAAGAATTGAGAGATAGGATTTTGGGAGACACACACACAGAGTAACATGCTCGGCAGAAGGTCTCGCAGCGTACGACACTGATGAGCTGTCAGTCAGGAGCTGAATATAGCTTTAAGCTGTGATTGGCACATCAAGACACTTGACAGCACTCCCTCCAGTCCCAGTCCCCCCACGCCCCCACACATGCATATGCCTATGAACCTGACAGTTGCATTTCATTTCATCATTTTGAACGTCGGCAGCTTCTTTTTCATTTCCGCACCACTGTCTTGTTTACTGCAGACTTAAATAAGTGCACTAAGCTCGTTATCTGGTGTATACTAGTGGTGTATGCCCTCTAAATGCCATGACTACTACAGCAGCACTTCTGGGAGTACAGGACGGACACAGTGAGAGGGTTGACCTTGTTTTGGCCAGCTGTAAGGTTCATCATTC